TCTTTACCTATACATAAGCTTTTGTATTTCTCATTCTGAACCATAACACTTGTCTCTGCTTTGTATGTATATGTCAGTTTGTGGTTGACGGTTATTCTGGTGTCAAAAATGAGTTGTCTTTGTTGTCAGCTACATTACTCTCATGTGTAGGGTACCTCACATTATTGAACAAAGCATTGCCTGTCCACATAAGATGGCCCCTTCTACAAATTTGTGCTTGTGTAATTGTGTGTGTTTGTGGATTGAGCTTCTCAGTGATGATTATGCAACTGTATGTGTCTTTGTACCACACACGCTTACTCTCGGTGCCCTAAATCTGTTCTTTCATCCTTCAGGCTGTAAATATCTCTGCTTTTCATTACACTGAGTCCCCCTTTCTCTTTTGGTGCTCACACATATTCAATTACACAATACAGTTTTCTCCACTGTCATGTGCCCACCGAGTAGGACCCACTCTGCATTGACTTTTATAGTTACTATGCATACTGTGATCAAAATGTTTGAAACAACCTTAAAAACGTCAAAATTCATTTAAACATGCACATAAACAAAAAGCTGTAGGACATTGAGAAGCAAGTTTGTTATTATGTAAAATCAAGAAATAGTATTAACACTTCACAAGTCAAGTCAGCTTTATTTATATAGCGCTTTATACAATACAGATTGTTTCAAAGCACCTTTACAATGACAAACAAAAATAATGATTCAATGGTCCAAACAAAATTCAATTATGCTGTAAAGTAGCGCTGAAAAGACAATAGTAGACAGTCATTATTCATTTGAAATCAGTTAATTGTTGATTCAGTTCAGTTTAATAACTGTGTAAAGGTTATCAAAACAGTGATGCCATCAACCAACTCAGTTCAGTTCTCACCCACTAGTGCCATGCAGTCAAGTCAATAATACTGCCAAAACAATAAGGTCTCATTTGTTAATCACTAACAGTAAAAAACCAAAGAGCAGTATGTTTTGACAGCATTCATTAATCTTATTTATTAGGCATTTATTAAGGTGTTCTCTAGGACATTGTCAAATCATACTGAATAACATGGATTATCAGGTTTTGTTCATGCTCAAGTGCTAGCATCAACATCACGACCATGCAAGGCATGAACAGAGAGCAATAGCACAGTGCTATTGAATGAATGCATGAATGAATCTGGCAATGCTTGTGTGCAGTGTGATGTCATTACTGCTCACTAGGCAGCCTTGGGGAGAAACATGCAGTCAAACATGTGAGGAACAGACTGAATTTCTGTCTGATGACACAAGGCAAGACAGATGAGATTGCTTTTTTTAGAACAGGGGTTTTCAAACCATTCCTGAAGCCTTCCCAGCACTGTCCATTTTGGATGTCTCCCACAGTGCAACAGTGTTTAGCAACAATAAAAAAAAACATCTTCTGAAAGTTATGTATTATTTCAATAAATAAATCAATAAATAAAAAACAATACAATACTATTTTGGTTTGCACTTTATTTTACAGTACGTGTACTTACATGTAGTACTTATAATGTACCTACCTAAGAAAGTTCTGGTAATAACATGGGGTAGGGTTAGGTTTAGGGTTAGTACCTTCTTACCTAGTTTTTGTAATTACTATAATAAGTACATAGTATGTACACGAAGAACAGGACTGTAAAATAAAGTGTATGTTTACATTAAAAATGTAAGAAATGTTCCTGTTCCTGTTTCCCCTTGTGACTGTGTTCTTGGCCAAATTCTAGTCCATAATGAGCATCCCTATGGCTCATTGCCTCTGAAGGGCAGAACCCTTGAAGTGGGTAATTTTGATGGAGCAGGGCACTTGTGTCATACAATGCCATATATTATCTGGTCTCTGTGAACCCCTGCTTTCTAAGAGGCTGCACTGCTCTGATTGGTCAGATGGCCAAGTCTGTTGTGATTGGTTTTTTGGCACCTTGCATACACTGATATGGACAGTACCAAAATCTTGCTCCACACTTTATCATTACTCAGGGTGGATAGAAGGACAGACTATCTGCATTCATCAACACAGTTTTAAGGTGGACCCACAGCTGATTAGGAGAAGCATTTCAAGACAATAATGTGAGTTTGCAGACTAGTGCACTAGGTCTACACTGTATACAATACAAAACTGTGTTTTGAACATGTGGTATGAAATATATACTTAAATAATGAATCATACTTACAGGTGGGTAGTTTTAACAAAATAACATAAAATGTAACAAAATCCTAATAGGCTATACAGGTGCATCTCAATAAATTAGAATGTTGTGGAAAAGTTCATTTATTTCAGTAATTCAACTCAAATTGTGAAACTCGTGTATTAAATAAATTTAATGCACACAGACTGAAGTAGTTTAAGTCTTTGGTTCTTTTAATTGTGATGATTTTGGCTCACATTCAACAAAAACCCACCAATGGGCATGGAGGTGATCAGTTTGTGGCACTGCTGAGGTGTTATGGAAGCCCAGGTTTCTTTGACAGCGGCCTTCAGCTCATCTGCATTTTTTGGTCTCTTATTTCTCATTTTCCTCTTGACAATACCCCATAGATTCTCTATGGGGTTCAGGTCTGGTGAGTTTGCTGGCCAGTCAAGCACACCAACACCATGGTCATTTAACCAACTTTTGGTGCTTTTGGCAGTGTGGGCAGGTGCCAAATCCTGCTGGAAAATGAAATCAGCATCTTCAAAAAGCTGGTCAGCAGAAGGAAGAATGAAAATGCTCCAAAATTTCTTGGTAAACGGGTGCAGCGACGTTGGTTTTCAAAAAACACAATGGACCAACACCAGCAGATGACATTGCACCCCACATCATCACAGTCTGTGGAAACGTAACACTGGTCACAATTTGAGTTGAATTACTGAAATAAATGAACTTTTCCACGACATTAGAATTGATTGAGATGCACCTGTATATTAAAAATAATAAAAATACAAAATATATAAAAGAAAAAAATTATTGTACAATCTTTTTCTGTGCAAATTACAAACATTTAGGTAACATTCTACTAATTAAGTAACTTGAAAACTACATGTCAACTAACTCATTAATTTGCAGCTATATGTCAGCTAACTCTAATATAGCCTATTAGTGGACCATTAGGTTAGGGTTAAGTAAAATAAGTTGACATGTCCTCACAAATTTACTTATAACTAGAATGTCTAAAGTGGACTATCAAATAAAAAATGTTACCAACATTTTTTTTACAGTCTATTGTACACACATTTTCCAGTGCTTAAAACATGTTATATACATCGGTCACATAACTCTGATGTCTAAAATGGACCATGGACCCTGATGTTGGCAGAGCCTAGTCACACTCCTGGCCATAAAGGAGACTGAAAGTAAATGTCCTTGCCAGATTACTGTAATCCTGTTAACCGGCAAAGGATTAACGTCATGCTCCTGATATAATCTGACATGCTTACCCATATGTACAATTATAATCAAAAATATTCCCCAAAACCCCTAGATACTGTAATAATTTACAAATGTAAGCTTTCCTGTAGACCCAGAATTAAAAAATAACATTAAAAGTAATAATATCAATAATGTAAAAGTTTTGATTTATATGATTTTTTTGTAATTCAGCTAGTCATAATTTTTAAACCCCTATTCTATATTATATTCTATATTATTGTTATTTTGACTTATTTGTATGGTAGGGTAGAAAATTGTGTTATGGTAATAGAGCTCTCTGTCAAAATGATTTGTACCAGAAAACTTTGAGGGAGTTGAAGAAAAAGCACAATACCATCAAGGGTAGTAAAATGTTTGATGAGACCAACTCAGAAAACCCTCAGTTTACTTGCAGAGTATAAGACAAACACTAAAAAAGCCTGGCCATCATTTTGGGACATCTTGTTGTGTCTACTGTGACAACACTACTCTAGACTGAGGAGAATATAAAATGCCAACTTAAATAAGCTAAAATAAATTTGGATAGACCTGTGCAGTTCTTGAAGAATGTTTTATGAGAGATGTGACTAAACTGGAACTTATTGGAACCATGGATCAGAGTTGTCTGGTACAAAAAAAGGCAAAGCTCATGAGCTGAAGAACACCATCACCACCACGGTCAAACATAGAGGTGGACCAGTCTTGTTAGGGGAATTTGCTGTTGCATGAAGTGGTAATCTTTACTGTATCAAGGACATAATGGATTCTTTAATGTATGAGGCCATTGGCAAAGATTATTAAGCCTCCAGTGCATAGACTAAAGCTTGATGATCACTGGACACTCCAATGGGACAATCATCCCAAATACTGTTCATCCAAATATACGCAAGTTTGGAACAGAGATGGGTCATAAAATGTTCTTGATTGGCCTGTTCAGTCATCAGATTTAAATTTTATTAAAAATCTTTAGTGGGATTTGACTAAAGCAGTGGCAACATGAAAAACAAAGATCATGAGTGATCTGGAAGCTTTTTCAAGCAAGGAATGTGTTAAGATCCCAGTAGAGAGGTCTCAGAAACGTTTTATAAGCAACGTTTATAAAGAAATAAAAGATTCTCTAAATAAATCAGTAAAAGTGAATTTAATTTATTTTTCATCAACTTTACTTGCTCAGAACAACTCAAAAGGGTATACTAAACTTTATATAGTAGTTCGGTTTGATTGTTTTCATATAATTTTGTTCACAGTAGCAGAATGTCTTGCAGGTCAAAAGGGTTGAATTATTCTGATTGCAACTGTATGCAAACAAAAACCCAAAATACACTCATATTTTCATAGTTGCTTTTACAACTGATGATTCAGACTGATCTCATTAGTAGATATTTATATAACATCTACATATGATTAGTTTTCTTGTTGTGACACATATAGGTGTCACAACAAGAAAACAGTCTCTCTCTCATTCTCTCTCTCGCTCTCCCCCCCCCCCCCCCCCTCCTCTACCCCCACCAACCA